AGATTTTCTTATACTCCTCTCCACTTATAGCATTATAAAGCAGATTCCTTGATTTATTGTTAACTTGCACAACTACCATTTGCTTAGCTGTATATGAATCTATATCTTCAGGATTAGCAAGTTGTTGAGCGGCGGCTGGCAGAGGGTAGTTCCCATTTTTGATAAGTCTCCAGAAATTGACACATAGGCCTTTGCGTATATTTTCATATGCACTTTCCGGTGAGAGAAATATTGTCCATTGAAATATGGTGGCCTCACTTGCGATGTTCCTTCTTGGAAGATCGCTCCGATAATAACTTAATTTGCCATGATTTTTTCTCACAAGCTGTTAAGCAAAAGAAAAATGTGAGCCTAGCTCTAATACCAATTGAAAGTACAAGGGGGGAGGGGGTGAATTGTTTATTTTTATATTTTAATTGCTACAAGTTGACTAGTTTTCTAATTAGTCGACTAGATGTAATATCGAGATAATAGTAAGAGCAGAATTTAAGGTGCAGAAATAAAGTGCAGGAATTAAAGACACAGAAATTTTTATACTGGTCCGAATTCAATGTGAATCCTAGTCCAGTCCCCTTGGGTTGCAAGGGAGTTCTCTTTCAGTGAATGAGTTTCTCGAGTACAACGTGAATGGTGTGGTTTACACCAATGGCTCAATTTCTATGTCACTCATTTCTTTTTGATACAACACTCACCAGTATTTTTCTCTCTTTCTTCTCTAACTTGTTACACAATAGATCTAGTAGGGTTAAAATATTTGTTTGTAGTAGAATAAAGAGAGGGTATTTGGTTCGATCAAAGTATGTTTGTCTAAGGCTTAGGGAAGTGTATAAATACTATGTAGGAGGCCGTTGCTAAAGAGATTTGACAACCCAAGAGATTTGATCCTTGGAAGAAATTGATTCTTTCCAAGAATAAGATTATATGTCGTTGCTCTTCCTTGCTGAGAGGACTTTAATAGCTTTCCTTCTACAGGTCTTGATAGCGCTGGGTTTACTTCTTGATTTTTGGTCCTTCCAGAAATAACAGGCTGATTGATCATTTTGCAAGATCTTCGATGCTTCTTTTCCGCTTCAATCAATCTCTGATTGATTTCCTTGCTGGATATTTGGTTTGTTGATTGATTCCTTCCTTTTGGTTTCTTTGATCTTGGATGCTTTCCTTGAGTCCCTATACCAAAAACAACTATATTATTTTTCATCATTAAAACTAAAACCTAACAAAGAGTTGATTCCTGGTGCAACTCCATCACAAAAAGGAAAGTGTTCCGAATTACCTCTCACAGTCCTCATCCGAGTATTAGTACCATCATACATATCTTTAATCACACTAGTATACGCTACTGGAACACTGCTAACCTCCACATAACCTCTCGCAGGACTTTATCGTATGTTTTTTCAAGGTCAATGAACGATATATGCAAGTCCTTCTTCCTTTTCCTAAAATGCTCCACTAATCTCTTCACCAAATGAATATATTATGTAGTCAAGCTTCCGGACATGAATTCGTACTGGTTCTCAAAGATAGACACACTCCTCCTTACTCGGACTTCCACCACCCTCTCTCAAACCTTCATAGTGCGACTCATAAGCTTTATACCTTATAGTTATTGCAATTTTGGATATCACCCTTCCTTTTGTACAATAGAATCGTCGTACTCAACCTTCATTTTTAGGGCATATTTTTCGTCTTAAAAATGCCATTAATAACTCAATAAGTCACTTCAAGCCTACTCGACCCGCGTTTTTCCAAATTACCGAAATTTTGGCTGGTCTGGTTGTTCTATCCCTGCTCATCTTATGTATCGCCCCTCAACCTCTTCTACATTAATACGCTTACAATACCAAAAATCACGCTAACTCTTGGAGTGCTCCAACTCACCTAGCACAATGCTTCTGTCCTCGTCTTCGTTCAACAGTTTATGGAAGTATGTCTGTCATCTTTGTCCAATATGTGTCTCTTCCATCAATACTTTGTCGTCCTCGTCTTTAATGCACTTCACTTGGTCCAAGTCATGGGTCTTCCTCTCTCTCACCTTGGCCAATCGGTACAATATCTTGTCATTGTTTTCCCTCAAGTTCCTTGTACAAACGTCCAAATATAGCAGTCTTAGCTGTCATAGCCGCTAACTTTGCCTCTTTCTTTGCCTTCTTAAACCAATCGTGCTATGTATTATTTTTCACATCAACTCTCCACTAGTTTTAAATAAGCCATTTTTTACTTTTACTTTACTTAGACCTCTATATTCTATCACCAGTCCCCTTTGTGTCCCCCAAATAACCCTTTGTGATCTCTAAGACCTCTCTAGAAGCTTCCATAATGCAATTTGCTGTCGTGGTCCACATCATTGTCGCGTCCCCCTACTCCTCCCGGTCCTCATAGTCAGCAACTTCTCCCCGAACTCCTGAGTTTTGTCCTTAGTCAAGTTACCCCACTTGATCTTAGTTTGTCTGTACATTGCCCTCTTCCTTCTATTCATCTTGATCTCCTGTACCATTACCAGGAACCTATGATAGGTCGTGAGGTACTCATTCGGGATGACCTTGAAATCAGTGCATAAACCTCTATCACACTTTCTGCAGAGAAGGTAATCAATCTGAGTCCTGGCCGTGGTACTCTGGAAGGTGACCATGTGCTCATCCCTCTTCAGAAAACTTGAGTTAGCTATTACTAAATCAAAAGCTTTAGCGGAATCTAATAGTAGGGTACCTCCCTCGTTCCTATCCCCAATATCGAACCTGCTATGCACATTATCATAACCTATAGTAGTAGCCCCAATACGGCCATTGAAATCAACAAAAAGCTTCCCGGTGTGCTAGATACACGCATCACCTCATCCAAATCCTCCCAGAATTGCCTCTTGACCTCTTGGTCCAAGCCTATTCGAGGAGCATATGCACTAATCATGTTTATAGTAAGCCCTCCAACTACAAGTTTAATACTCATCCTCCTACATTTACCCTTTTAACCTTGACCTCTAGCTCCCTGAGGTCTCTGTCAACTAAAATACTTACCATGTTCTTGCCTTTGTTGCCTCTTGAGTACTATAATTTAAGTTCGTCTACATCCCATGCCTTCGTCACCACTCATCTAGTCTCCTGGACATATATTATGTTGATCTTAGAATCTTGCTTAATAATTTCCCTTTGATATTTTTGTTTCGATGAGTATGCTTTTCTTCGTCTTTCTTCTTTTCTTTCAAATCTTGCTTGAAGAGTATGGTTTTCATTTCGTGATTCATTCAAACATTATATTTATTTAGGCTGCAAAAACAACAAGTATGAATCTATAAATTTTGAGAAATTGCGAACTTTTTGATAATGTAAATCTTTTGCAAGTTAGGACCGGTGTGAAATTAATTAATTAAAGCCTAGTGAGGTATTTGGATAAGGTTTTAAGAAAATAATGTATTTTTAAATAGTAGCAGAAGTTATTTTCAAAATTTGCAAAACCAGCTTTTCACCAAGCATTTTGTAACCTTGGCCAGATATAAATTGATACTCTAATATTGGTAAACGTACTTTTTCCAAATTGAATAACAAATCCCTCGTCATCACGCAAGATGAGTCTGTGGTTGGATTCTAAAAAAAGGCTAACCAAATAAAACTATTACTTTTTAAAATACATTTTGAAAAGCACTTATATGACCGATTTTTTTTCTCAAAATAGGCAGATATCGAAAGCTTGACTAAACAAGCTATAGGATTTTCTTAAAATTTGTTTACGATAGCAGTACTCAACCGACCTGCTTTCAATTCTTCTTTTCCATTTAAAATTTTGAAGGTATCTATCTCTTTGCGAACACATCATTAATGTGTTCCTATGAATTGAATAATAATTGGAAGGAGAGATAGTAGTGGTCAAGCAAAGTTGTAATCACAATAATAGCAATAAATAATAATATTGCTATTATTATTATTATTATTTATTTATTTATTTATTTTCCAATCGCTATGGCCCGATCCAACTCGCTTAGAATTGAAATATTGTTATTATTTTATATTTTCTACATTTCAATTTGTGTTTTGTATAATGTATCTTGTCATGAAGTATAAGGCAAATTTCTAAAACCTATAATTTTAAATATATCTTAATATTTACGTGTCTATAAAATTTGAAATTTATAATAAAAGTAAAAAATTTATCATTTTTTTCCTTCAAAATTGACAAATAAGAAAATAACGTCAATAAATTGGAAGGGGCAATATTGCTATTCTAAGGTCGTAAGTAGGAGAGACAGACGGACAGGTCGGGTTGGATATGAGCGGGTCGAAAACGAGTAATGTAAAAAACGGATAAATTATCCGACCTGACCCATATTTAATGCGGATAAAACGGGTGAACCATCGGATTATATGGGTAACCATATTATCCATGGCTTTTTGAATATTATTATCATTTTTGGGAGAATTTCTAATTTCCAAGGCTTGAGGAACCCCCAATTTGAGTTTTTATAAATGTAAAATTAAACTCATTAGTTATTCATTTTCTAAGTGAATAATATAATTCTCATCCATATTTGATCAATTTTTAAAAATTTATTATCCAACCAGGGAATAATATGAGCGATAACTGTTCCGTTTTGCCACCATAACTAGGGGGTCGCAAAATGGTTAAAAGAAAACACTTAACCTCTTATATCATCCACTAAAAAATGGGTTGGATAATGAACTTTTTAAAAATGGATCAAATATGGATAAGAACCATATTATACATTTATAAAATGGATGACTAATAAGTTTAACTTTTATATTTGTAAAGCCTCAAATTGGGGTTCCTCAAGTTTGAAAGATTAGGAATTCTCCCAAAGTTGTCATATTCAAGAAAACATAGATAATACTCATATTATTCCGTCTTCTATCCTTATTAAATATGGATAAGGTCGAATAATTTATCCATTTTTTCATTACATATTTTTTACCCGGACCATATCCAATCGGACCCACCCATTTGACACTTAAACAATTTGACTCTTTTGCGGGACAAGCTGACAGGTCCATCGAGTCGCTCTTTCTCGAAGTAAAAAGGAAAAAGTTCCCGATAAAGAAAGGTAAGCAGTAAGCAGCTTCAGAACAAGTTCATCGTGGGCGAATTCTCAATCGGCGCCTTCTTCTCGAACCCTACCTTTCTCTTTGAATTTTGATCTTCTCTCATTTACATCATCAGGTCAAATTTTCACTTTCCTCCTTTTCATATTACGCAAGATCTGCTTTAGTGCCATATTCCGTACGCGTATGGTCATTCAACGTGTGCTTTTGGAGCCTTTGTGTCAATCGACTTTTAAAAAATATATATTTTGTGCTATTGATTAAACAGTTCTAAGAGATCAAAAGCTGCGATGTTGGGCGTTTTAAGGCGCAAAGTCGTTTCTAGCGCCTCTTCTACTTCGGTAAGAGTCCTGATTTGGCTTTTGTTTTGATATATAATGCTTTCTGTACAATAAGTTGGTGAAGTTATTTGATGTGACGAAAAATTTTCTTTTGCTGGGACAGTGTGTAAGGAAATCTCTGCATACGGTTCGACCTGCAGTAACTACATCTAGAATTCCATCTGCGGCAGCAGTAGAGGTAGTAATGCCTATTTATGATTTATTCTTTTTTACTTGTATTTTTCAGCGGATTTTTCCTGTCTTCCGGTAAATATTGATTTCCAGTTCTTATTAAGATACAAAGTCGAACTGTAGTTTTAGGGAGGTGAAATTTTCGTTAGGTTGATTTTGAAATATCTTTTGC